CGGAGCACAGGCTCCGGACACACAGGCTCAGCGGCCATGGCTCACGGGCCCAGCCGCTCCGCGGCATGTGGGATCTTCCCGGGCCGGGGCACGAACCCGCATCCCCTGCGTCGGCAGGCGGACTCTCAACCACTGCGCCACCAGGGAAGCCCTAAAATCCTTCATTCTCAAATGGCAGTACTTAGTGCTGGGAAAACAGCCCTGACCCAGGGAGATACTGAGCAGGATCCTTTCCTTGGCTTCTCCCCTGTCTTTTTTTCTAGGCTCACAGAAAGTAAGCAGTGCTTGATTTTCCCAACTTCTGATATTGCAACATTGATTATTGCCTTTTGCTGCAAATTTAATTTGAGCAATAAAGGAAGGCACTGTATAAAATTTTTTCTACAACTTTTGATAATTTCTGTAAGATTCCATTAGGTTTCATTGAGTAACTCTAATAATGCAATTGTTGCTAATCACCAAGTGGTATATAATGTCTGCTTTTATTTTCTTTAATTAAAAAACAGACTCTACCTACTTGTACTTTATGATGGTCCTTTGTTTTATTACACATGAATTAAATCATGCAGCAACTGCCTTGAGAAGCTGCTTCTTCTCTCTCCAGTTTTCCGCCTCTCCCACTAAATACTCTGAAATCATACTTTTAGCAAATTCATTTGTCTGGTTGACCTCGTATGGTGTGTTGTTTAGTGGAAATGATCCTTCTGCAACCTAAATGGCTTAAGCATATTTTTAAAAAATTTGATACTAAAGATGTGTCTCTGAGAGCTCTAGGTTTGTCTTCAGCCAGGTCATTTAGCTTTTTGCCTGAAAGGAGTTCCAGATGCGTAAGGCACTTAAGAATAATGTGTCTAACATCACATGTACCCCTATATTAGGTCTGTGCCAAGATCAAGGTCAAAGGTGTAAACTGCAGCTCATTTACTCAGACATAAAAAGAAACGAAATTGAGTTATTTGTAGTGAGGTGGATGGACCTAGAGTCTGTCATACAGAGTGAAGTAAGTCAGAAAGAGAAAAACATATACCGTATGCTAGCACATATATATGGAATCTAAAATAAAAGAAAATGGTTCTGAAGAACCGAGGGGCAGGACAGGAATAAAGATGCAGATGTAGAGAATGGACTTGAGGACACAGGGAGGGGGACGAGTAAGCTGGGACGAAGGGAGAGAGTGGCATGGACTTATATATACTATCAAATGTAAAATAGCTAGCTAGTGGGAAGCAGCCGCATAGCACAGGGAGATCAGCTCTGTGCTTTGTGACCACCTAGAGGTGTGGGATAGGGAGGGTGGGTGGGAGACGCGAGAGGGAGGAGATATGGGGATATGTGTATATGTATAGCTGATTCACTTTGTTATACAGCAGAAACTAACACAACATTGTACAGCAGTTATACTCCAATAAAGATGTTTAAAAAAATAATAATGCTGCACTGAACATGGTGGTGCAGATATCTTTTAGGAAAAACAAAAAAGATAGCAGTGAGTGAGTCAGCTGATACTCTTAAGTGTAGTGTCAGCCTTTGCATTGGTGGCTGAAGATTTAAAGGTCTTTTATGACCTTTTTTCACTTTCTGAAATGCCAAATTAATCCCCAGACTAATTAATACTATGGATTAATAACTTAATACAATAGGTATTTAATATATTAACAGTACGAATATTTCGTTAAATCCCAACTGATTAAATGAAATACTTGTTGACTTCATAGATATCCAAATAACGAAAAAAAAAGAGGCAAACCTATAAAGGATGAAAACATTGTAAAAAGTTAATAAATTTTGAATTGAATTCTTGAGTTGAATAAAAATGTTTTGAGTTCAACAAAATTATTAGATGAACAAGAGATAAAAATCATCACACTATAGAGGTGCCTAAAAAAATTAAGATTGTGATATTATTCCAAAGGGATGTGGCTGCCAGAAT